AACAGAATGGTTTAATTTAATGTGGCAACTCAAGCCTAAAATCAATGCAGCAGAATTTTCAACGCCGTTTTCTCCGCGCTCATTCATTGGCTCCATGCAATTGGTTTTTCATATCAGACAATCAGCCAGATTGACACTAAAAGAATCACAATTTTTTCCACCCTGATGAAGATTGCTTAATTGGAGGTAGTTTTTTTCTCTGTTCTTCTGTGGTGAATAAAGCGTCATCTGGCTTGATATCTGTATTTTGTGTTTTGACGTGGAGACAAGGAAAAAACTGATCTTCATGGGTTCTTGCGTTTTGTCCATGTGTGAATGAAGGTGAAAAAAAACACCTCAAAAGACGCTAACATCGAAGTTTGTGGCTGCAGTTGAGCAAGATGAAAGGAGATGAAGTGTAAGAGATACAATAAGTTAAGATCCTTTTGTGTCCATCTCAATGGATGAGGATTTTTGTATTGTTCATAAGAGAATGACGACATAATGGGACATAATGAGACCGCTAACTTTTGTAGAAAATTGATTTTTATTGAAAGAAAAAAAAAACAGAGCCAAAGTGAGAAGGAAGGGACACATCTAAGGCGGGACATTCGGACATTCTCAACATAACCACAATCTCCATGACATAATCAAAATAATTGTGATGCCACCATTCGTCAAGTTTTCTTCATTCTCCGATTCCCCCTAAGAAACACACTTACTTCTTCCCCTTCTTTCAGCCGAATGTAACGAAGATAATTTCCCGAGCATGATCTTTTAATGTTGCCTTATGATTTTAGTTATTCAAATAAGTGGCCATAAGTGTGTATTATCCTGGGGGAGAGGCATTTTGTCGCATTTATTACAACACCCATATAACTTCTATTCAGTGTTGTGTGTTTGGATGAAAAATGGGTTCTTCAGCGAGGGGCGATTTGCCTCAACTCGATGACATATTGCCGATCGTCCAGAGCTGCTGACTTTCCACTCTTCCCGCTTTTCTCCGAGCATTTTCTTAGCAGTCTCACTTCTCCGCCAATCGCTCAACAGAGAAGTTAACTTACCCAGTTTATTGGAGTTTATGTGACAAAATACTGTCGCGATTATCGTTACAACCGCCATTTTTTAAGAACCAAATATAAGGGTTGAATAATAGTTTTCTTTTCATAAGACTATTAGAGATTTCAATTTAAAAATTGAAGAATTTTGGTCTTAAATGAGTGTTTGGATTTCTGAAATATCACAGAAATATTGCTCAAAAGGTGTTAAGCCAGCGGAAAATCAATATATTTTTAATGTTAATGCAATCATAATTTAAATATTGAATATTTTTGACACATATTATCGTCAGAGGATTAAAGGTACTGTAGGAAATAATTTCTAATGGATCTGAGAAGGAAAAATGACGGAATTCGCCTTAAAAATCTGAACAATTCGTCACAAAAAAATTATTTGTGATACTTTTTTCGCGAAATAGAATTTTTACGTGGTCAATTGCTCTCCAAATTCTCTTTCTGGGATAAGAGGTCCTTCTAGCTATGTCCTTGATTAAATGTCCTTTGTTGCGCGGCCGAAAAACCTAACTTAATCAAATTTTCATATCAAACAGTTCTAAAATCGATATAATAAATGGTAAATCCAACAGGACAATTATCCTGAAGACATCCCGAATATATTTAAACCACATTATGAACAGAAAACATACATAAGTGGAAAAAATTCAAATGTTACTCAGATGGTTCTATTTAATTTGGAGAATCGTTTCTGCAAAGATTCGATTTTAGTGTCATAAACGGATCAAGGATTAGACCGAATGTTTCCAAACTCGGCATGATAATTACTTATTAATGAATGAAGATTGGAGGAACATTTTAGACCTCTAGCTCCACGTGAAAATTCGCGGCACTTCGATATGTTTCAGAGCCCTGGGTGGCTCTATTTAATTTGGAGTCACTGTAATAAATATATTTATTTTTGAATATCCTTCAATTTTACTCGGAATTAATTTTCCTCTAAAATCGACTAGTTTACAGGTCTTTAAACCCTGAGTAAACGAGTACATGCGTACCGAATTTGCGCTCGTAATCACAGAATTAACTCGTCCTGAATATTCTTGACTTCTACCAATCAAGTCTAATAATAGGTAGGCAAACGAGCCTCGTCTTAGATCCTTTAGATAATGTTGAATATTACTAATTCACGGCGAAATAATACGGGGAGGTTCGAATGCTCTTCTCCAAACTATTCACGGTAATTGCTGGAGAACATCAATTAATAAATATGTGTGTGTGTGTCATATCAACCCCGAAATGCTTCACTCACGCGTGTCATTCGTCATGACGATGGCCTAGAAATGGCGGTCAAGCGCATTTGTCACTCGACACAGCACAGTTCCGATTCGTCACCATGGGAATGGTCGCGTCTGCACTCCCAATCCAAGTGACCCCGCGCGATCCGCGATCGCGCGTCCAGCGAGACTGCAGCGGCGGTCTTCTTCGTCTCCGCTTTGCCAGCAACTTCGCGGCCGCGGTAGCCGCGCGAGAGAGCGCCATCTCGCGAGAGGCGTGGCCTCTAGTGTTGCCGATCAAAGAGTTCCGCCGGCCGGCGGCGCGTTTGATCTCCGCATCGCGCGATCGAATTTTTGTACAACGTCACGTCGCAGGTATACATTTGAATGAATGGGGCGCGATGTGCGCAGGCCGAAGAAGGGTTAACGCTGTGGAAAACACTCTCATTTACCGTCGGGTCGCGACTCATGTCCAAATTGATTTTGGACGATTAATTAATTGATTCCACCGGGCGTCGGGAGAATTCCCGCGAGAGTTGCGGGCTCTTAATGGGTTCCGCGCGGCGCAATTGAAACGGTCATTATGGACAATGATAATGAACGAATTACACCCAATAATCATATGCGAAGTCGATGATTCTTGATTTGGTGCAATTAGTTGATATGCGCGATATAAATCGAGGATAGAATTCAACCTTGCAATTTCGCCAGCGTTGAATCTTAAGTCAGACAGAGTGTAAATGTTGGCCATGGAATTAGGACAATTATAGGCAATAAAGCTTCCACTGTATCGCCTATCTCTGTCTCTCTGTGAACGATAATACTTCCCAATTAGCGAAAATGCGGGAAAAACGAGCCAATGGTGCACCGCTGAGTGCGCGAAGCTGGCAAAAAAGGTGTTCAAAAATAAAAATTCCCAAAACCACAAAAACTAATTTAACTGGTTAACTTGACTCTTTGCGCGATCTTCAAGCACAACTTGTGTTCGCACTCTGTATGGAATTCGGCGTTTTTTTTTTGTCCCGCCAAAAGGAAAAAAAGAGACTCCCATTCACATCTGTTTAGAGAGATAATCAGTTAGCATTCTAACAGTCACTGATGAGGAGAAGAAAAAACCCCTAATGATCAGTGATTCCGATGACATGTGTAACCTAAATGATCGTCTCGCAACCATTGTAATTTGTTTGAACACTCGACCGGATATCAACCGCACATCAGGCACACATGAGACCCTTCGTCTTTAATCCTTTTCCCCGTCAATTGGTGAATTATGACCGCCAAGACGGATGAGATCAGCGAATTTGATCGGAAAACTACGAAATTGTGGAGTCAATTTCTAAGTCAAGGGGGAGATAATACACCCAGAAGTGGTGTACAGCTCAGCAGAAGTATTATGGGAAGTTGGAAGTGTTCAAAAGCATATTATATTCCTTTCTTGATTGCTTTTCTTTGATTTCCTTTTGATTTTTGCACCAAAAGTCATCATAATATATTGCTTTTCTAGATTATGTAACGAATCAAGAACAATCTAAAACATACTTTTTTATGCTGAAGTGCAAAAGATCGCTAATAATTGGTAAAATAAAGCATTTCTACGCGAAAAACGTTGATTTTCTGAGGGTTTAATGACAAGAAACACTACAAATTGTGCAAATATTAAACATAACCTCAAAAATAGACACTTGGACTTGGAAAATGTTTATTTAAACAATTTTCTGTGCCATTTTACCTCTGAATTAGCGATTTTGAGATGATTTTGTGATCTAGAAAGCATTAAAAACGGTTGTTTTTAGGTTATAATAGGAAAAGGCGCCAAAGAAAGGCGATTCAAAGCATCTTCTCTTCCTCTTTTTCTAAGTCGAATTGTGTTTCCAGCAAAGCAAAAAGTCTTGACAAAAAAATTATTACCACATTGGGAGATTTTATTGGGGGGCCAAAGAGGTGGAGAGAGAATAATCGGAACTGGCGGTAGCATTTTTCGATGAATTAATTGTATGTAAATATGATGGTCGGCTTGGCTGCTAAAGTGTCCAATTTACGATGACAAGACTTATAGAGATGGAAAGAAATGATGCTGGGAATCTCATTTGTGTTGTATTTGAAAAATATTAATTAAAGTGGCAACAACAAAAACGACCAGACACCATTATTTTTATTCAGTTTTTCCGAATTTATTGGGCCTTTTTTGTCGGAACGACTCTTCATTATTGTAAATCTCTTTCGGGTTTGGTGGATGATAGTGAATGGATGAGAACTATAATTAGTAATCTGGACGTATAAAAGTGTTAAATCTCAATTTGTCTCTCAAGATATTTCCATCTATCACTGATATTTTGGACTCTGCATGCCTTTTATTGCGCTCCTCTTCTCGTTACCGACGCAGCGCCTCGTCTTCAATCACTCAATTCCGGCTTCTTAGGGCGAATTGGTGGCTGAGCAAAGTTTTATTCCCACAAATACCGGCCAAAAGTGTTTTTAACGAGGACGTGAAAATAACTTTTCAGGAAGATCTACGCATAAACTTACAAATTCACATTTTTTCTCGTTATTTATTCACCCCGACGCGCGTTTCTTCCGCACCACGAACACGAGTGCGACTCTGTTGTCTTATTTACTAATCTCCCGGCATCATAATAACATCAATCCATTATTTCGGAAGCCGCACAGATAATTTCTCACCTCTTTTATAGTGTTGGAAAAATAAAATGTTGAACACTTTTATCTTTTTTTGTAGATCAATCGCATTTAAATTTATTTGCCTCGCGGCCACAGCCAAAAAAGAAGCGTAAATCACGGACGGCGTTCACAAATCACCAAATCTTTGAGCTGGAGAAGAGATTTCTGTACCAGAAATACCTGTCGCCGGCCGACCGCGATGAGATTGCCGCCGCCCTGGGACTCTCCAATGCTCAGGTGAGTGTCACGATGACTCAGCCCTGGAAGCGCGCATTTGTGCCCCAAAGGCGGAGATAATACAGCTGAACTGTACACCACAATTCCCGTGGGAAAATCACAAACACTTCTAGAACATTTTCTGTGCTTAAAACATGCCTTTTCCCTATTTTCTGCTCCTGTTTTGGAAACTTTATAGTGTTTTTTAACCTTTGAAAGTATCATAACCTCAAATTTAAAGAGTCTTTGTCGCCATTTTCACTTGAATTACCCTTAAAACTCACAGAGAAACAGTATTTAAGAAATATTTGAGGTTTCCAGTGAATATTTTGATGTGATTTAATTTTACTTTGGAACATAACCTAGAAATTACCTCAAAAAAAGGTTTTTAAAATATTTTAAGCATAAATTTTCTATTTTAGAGTAGAAAATCTTTAAAAAATCCAGTCAAACATTGCTTAAAATAGACAATTTTGTATCCTGAAACAATAATAACCTCAAATTTAGGCATTCTTTGTCCTAGAAAGACGCAATTTTCGCTCTTTTGCATGCACTTTGAAACATAACCTCAAAATTACATCGGGAAAAACCCTTTTTGGAATCTTTTATTGAAAAATAAATTGATACTGAGCTGAAATTTGTTTTCTATAGTAGAAAATCAATTGAACAGATCTTAAAACAGACAATTTTGCATCCTTTTAAGGTTATGTTAGAGCAATTTTAAGGTATTTCAGAGGTTATGATCAATTTTAGCTTAATTAAGACAGTTTAGTAATGAAATCTTGTGATTTTCCTCTGATTTAATGATTTTTGTGCCAGCAAATGCAAGTAAAATCAACTTAGACGCAGGAAATAATGATTTTGGAGGTTATTAAGTGACAAAATGTGTCTCAAATTCATAACATAACCTAGAAAAATGTAAAAAACAGAACTTCTTCTCTAAATAATCCGTCAATTTCTTTTGAAAGTGACTCTTGAACGCATAATATTGAAGTTATTCATGCAATTTCACTTCAAAATACTCCTTCTGAGCTGTACATCACTTCTCTCGACAATATCTCCCCCTTGTGTGCGTCGGAATGATTTATTAAAAGTCCTCTTTTCCCCCCGCAGGTGATCACGTGGTTCCAGAACCGCCGAGCGAAGCTGAAGCGCGACATGGAGGAGCTGAAGAAGGACGTGGAGACGGTGAAAGTTCTGTCGTCGCACAAGAGTTTCCTAGAAAATGTCAACGACTTGGGCATCCTGAAGAAGAAAACTGTCCACGACGAGGGCGACGCGAGTCCTCAGAAATGAGCAAATATGCTCACGGTGTCATTTTCCCGTGGCGGATAATAAAGAAAGTGAAGAGAGAAAGAGTAGAAATTGTAATGATATTTAAGGAATCCATCAAATTTTTAGAAAAAGAACCAGTGCTGTAAATAATCTCTAAATGATAAATGTAACTTGAATGAATATAATATCGAAGAAGTTTATTGTATTTTGTGAAGATCTCAGTGTAGAATTTTATATAGCATGACATTCTCATTACTCAAAACAGTGTGAATAGAGACAATTTTATATACAAAGTTCTTCATGTTTTAATTTTCCAATCGAAAAGGGGGTAATAACAAGTGCAATATATGGGAAATCAATTATCTCCACTGAATGTGCAAAATTTCCAATATAATTCTGTGCTCTTCTCTTATTGTATCTGTGTTTGTTTGAATTTGAAAACAACTTCTTAAGCGCGCCATAAACATGAATTCTACGGTAGTTAAAGAGATATTTGAATTATTTGTTATATATTTCACTCTTCTTATTTGACTTTAAAACATCCTTAAAGCACTTCATTGATGAGGAAGAATTGCCAAATGAACTATTTAATTATGATCTGTAAGCTAAAAAAAAACAATCAGTATTTGAGCACTTTCAGTGGCAGAAAGACAGTTAGAAACCCCACAAAATTCATCATGTATTCATAAATCAGTTGGATTTTTCTCAAAATTGGAGATTTCAATTGGTGAATTTTTGATAAATTGACAATAATCCATCAAGAGTTCAAAAATAATTGCAATGCTTCTGTTTGGAAATGCGGTGAAAACTTTAATCGATCGAAAAGTCACTAAAATTCAGTGCACAGGAGGAGAAAATTGGATGAAATTGTGAAAGTTTTGATTCTAATTATTGTACATATCTCGGACAGAGGAAGAGGTAAGAAGTCGGAATAAGAAAAGGAGAAAAAAGAAGAAGAAATGACTTATATAAAGTGTTACGTCTAATTGTATGTATTGTATGTATGTTAATTAAATTATTCATTTAGAAAGAGACTGTATAAATAAAGTGAGAAATGATTTCACGTAGAAATAAAATTTAATTACTCAAATGCGATTGATTTTCTCAGAATTGTGCATCAATTCGAATGTGCGTTCTTTTTTTATAACACTTTTAACCTCAGGATTTTTCCACCCACTTGACTTTGGCTTTTTATGAGGAACCCGCAGAAAATGTCTCCAATTGACAGCGCGTCTCACTAAAGTTGGCAACTTTATGACTTTGTTGCGGTGAAGGCAATTATTTATCGTGGAGTTTCTTGGTCGAATTTGCAGAGATTCTCTTCCTTTCTGTGAAGTGAAAAAAAAATTTAATTTGTGAGGCTTTTGAAGCTGAGATGAATGTTTTTTATCTGGATATCCGCGTATTTTCAGATATTTGAAATGAAATGCAAAAGGAATCGAGGAAAAAACAATTTGCCCGTTGGCTGTGTTGACGATTTGTATTCAGTTCGGCGTGTGATTTCCATTTCCAGATACGACAGAGTGTAATTCACCGAACGAAAACTATCTATGCACAATGTTGAAGTGTGTGGATGAGGAAAACCGTAAAAAATGAGGCAAAATTACGATTAATTTTGTGTTCACGCCATATTTTTATTGCCTTTATGTGTGATTTATGGGTTTTAAAAAGCAATATCGTAAACAGTGCTTCTTTGGGCGCACAGTTTCGTCATATGTGGGTGAGTTGTCTTGGCTGAAGCGGCATAAATTCATTGCTCTCAATCTGGATTGACTGATGATGGATAAGACGAACCAATTTTGAATTCATTCCATGCTTTTCTCTAGACATCCACTCTCCACCAGGGGTCAGGATGAGACAATTGCGTCAATTGCGAGTACTAAAATGATATTTTCTCTTATCCAAGACGCCATTGCACGTCCGAAAAGAAGAATTGTGTCTTCGAAGGGTGTGAATCATTCATTGGTGGTTCGAAGTTTTATTCCGCTGGGCAAAATTTTGAATATTTATTATACTTATTAAATAAATACTAATACACGGAATTATATAACATTTAGGCAGGGATATTAGAGTAATTTTTACTATTTTATGCCAACAATAAAGATTTCCTTCAAAATTAAAGCATTTTTCACGTTTCCGCTCATAGATTTCGTAGAAAATATAGTATTTGAATCGACGTGTGAATGAAAAACTATGAAAAGTCAATATCGTCATTCTTCAAGAGAAAGACTGGAAAATATAGCGTAATTATCACTGCGAAATTTGCCTAATTTACATCAAAACACTTTCGAATAGTTCGTTAAAGTGCTAATATTGCTCAGAAATCATAATTTTCTGAATTTTTCAGTTGATTTTATTGGTATTTATTGGAATTTTTGATTGAAATATGGCAAAGTTAATAGAAATACTGAAAATATTACTTTCCAAAGTCGACTTTTAATAGATTTTGAGTACATTTTATCCAAACAAGTTCTAAAAATTAATTTCTCATACTTTTCATGGCATTTCTTCAAAGTTTTCAAGTGAATAAATTAAAAGATATGACAAATATTAGATTTATTCAAAGTCGAAGAACATTTTAAGAAAATCTTGGTAATCAAAAATTTTTTTTAAGTCTTTGACTGCATTTTGGGACATTTTTTTATTCGCCCTTCGAAATAAGAGTTCATAAACTGAATTTGTTAGATTTTAACTTAATTTTGAAAGTCACGAATATGCCAAGAAATATTTTATTATCTATTATTCGAGAATTATTTGACAAATAAATTATTCCTCTACAATTTCTTAACTCGAAACTTGAAACTGAAAACATTTTTGGCCCTAAACTTCGAAGTGACATTTTAAAATGCATTTCCTCAATTTCTGTTGTTTCTGTAACAAAATAGGCAATGTGTGAGCGACTCTCAAGTGTTTCTCTTAGCCACAGAATGACAATTGAGTCACAGAGAGTCACCTTTGCTGAAGCAGCACTTTCTCTGTGTCCATGATTAGCCAGCACAGGAAAAGTGAGACGCGCCAGTGAATTATGAGTGATGACGAAGGGAGAAGGAGATTTTGGTGGAGCGTCTCAATAGGAAAACCGGAGGAGAATTATTTACAAGATTCGCACATAAATATTTATGTATTGGAGAAGAAATAGCGACCCAGTGTGCCACAGTCCCTTCACTCTGGAGCGGAAAAGTCGTCCATGGGCGGGAAGGATGAGAGGCAATTTGGGTGGTAGGCGGATGGAGCACGCCGTGGGAGGGAAAGCAGCTCGCATTCACGAGAAAACTTTATTTCCTTTTCACGCTTTGAAAGGTCTCTTGATTTTTACCGGCAAATTACCGTCGTCTTTTAAGAAAGACTTAACTAACGAGCAATTTTCCTGTAATCTTTGCCATACAACTCTCGCTCCCTGCAATCATTTTCCCCTCCTTTTCACTCCCACCGCACGAGTTTCCTGAGTGAAAAGAAGAATTTTCTCCCAATTTCATTTATCTCTTTTATGTACACTTTGAAGCTCAATGGGAAATTCTTCAATTCCAGAGGCAAAAAGGCCATTTATCACATTTTTCAGCTGAGGAACTTCTTCAATTATGTCGCGCGAAAGCTCTCTTTCTCTCTCCTCGTGACCCCGATTAGAGGTGCGGGAATGGAGATGAATATCAATTTGATGGAGAAGAACCAATTACTTGAGGATGGAGTTTTATTATCTCAGCACTAAGCATAATACGTATCTGTTGATGACGGCCTCATAAACAATTGAGCCGCAGCTGAAAACTCTTTTAACTGCTCAGCAGTCGAGAATCCTGCGCCCCGATTTAGCTCCGGAATGCTGAACACACAAACAAACGCCGTGAATATCGACTTTTCCAGTTGAAAGACAAACCTACCATCTTCCATTTTGACAGTACTTTCTCAGCCATTTCTCACTGGCGAGGCGGTTTTCCGGGCATTGCACAGCTCCGTGGCAGGCATCGAGCGGAAAACCCTGTTTATTTACTCAACTCCTTCTGCTCTATAACGCCCAAAGTGCATAAAATCAACTCCGTCTTCATAAAATGTTGAGTCTCTTCCACGTAGATTGTTCAAACATATACAGTCTTGCTAAGAGTTCGCGCGTCTTGTTTATATTTAAGTTTCCTTGTTTAAACGAACTCCGTGAAAATATAATTGTGCACTATTACACTAATTACATTTTATATGATTTGGTCAGGCGCTATTAGAATATATTAACATTCCTGTGATGAAAGATATAATTATTTCTGTAACACGTGAGCGTTTGTTACCATTTTCCATCATTTCTCACGCGAGTTTGAACATTTCAGCTTTATTAATACTTCACGCCCATCACAATCAGATCAAATGAACTCTAAATTAATTCTACGTCCGTGATTTCAAGCCAAGACTTGAAAGTCTTCCCAATTGCACTTCTATATTGTGCGATTTTAATATGGTTTCTAGAAATTAGTCTCCATGACCCAGTAAAAATAGTTCTGATGGAATCCCGCTGGATTCCTACCGGACAATTCCTCATGTCCTGAAGGATTTTCCATGGAAAATCCACTAAAGATTCACAGTGGATTTTTTACACTAAAACGTGATGGACCGTGTTCGCTGTTTTCCTGCAGGAAAATCCACAATTTTTCCACACTTCTTAAGCCCACATAACAGACTTGATAAGAGACCCAATTCCTATTGATTTTTATTATATTTTCTCGCAATTATTCTGCAGAAAAATCATTGGAAGTTCCTTCAAGCACGAAAAGTATATAAAACGATGGATTTTTAATGGATATTCCTGCGGGATTCCCACAGAAAAATCCATTGAAAATCCAGCACAAACTATTTTGTATTTGTAATTTGAATATGGCACGATTTAAACCAATTTTATCAGGTGGCGCTGTGATCCACAAAGTGGACAGAATTTACACACATATTTCATATAATGGTCCTTTTGCACGTCTTTTATATTATAGAGCGAGGTGCAAAGATGCTTCCACGGTATAGAATTAGTAGAAAGAGGGAAAAAGTACTTTTCGCATCGAAATCAGTCCATTTTTGGAAAATCTTTTTCACAAAATATATCTGTATTGTCAAAATTTTTATCCTGGCTAAGGATAACAGTGTAAAGTCCTCGGAAAACTGTAAATATACGCTTCTCTGGGGCTAATTTCTACAATATTGAAGGTAAAATGTGTGACATTTCCTGAAGGAATCCTGCAGAGCATCTGTTTGGCTCTAGGGCAGCACTGTGGAAAATCGATGGACAAACGGTGGACACTGGATTGTGTTTTTACTGGGGAACGCCTAAAGATTGCCCTAAATATAAATTCTGCGGCTAATCAAGTCCATGGGTTTTCTCATGATAATAATAGTAATAGATTTAATTCTGACCTACAAACTCTATGTATTTTTGGCTGTCTGCTGTGTGTAAAAAAATAGTGTAGGAAAGAAGGAATCGGAGCAAAATTTAATGACTCAAGTACCATCATCTGCTTCTGAAGTGCTCTTCGGCTCGTCAATTTTCTTTCCGATCAGAGCTCTTCTGCCACCAGACTCTTTAGCCGAAGACGAAGTACATAAAAATTTGCGCTATCGATTGATTAATAAAATTCGTCTACAATACACTCTCTGGATGGTTCAAAAGATGCTTTGAAGGCAATTTTCATGAGCCACCATAAAATATAGACAGTTTAAATAAATATTCCCACACACTTTAGCGTCAGCGCCGAAATCTCTTAACATTTTCAAATTTCCCCTGATAAACTTCAGAGTGATAATTAAGTTGGAACAAATTGCCACCTCAATATGTCTGTCCTTGAGGTCTCAATGAGAGTGGCTTTTTGGCCTTTTGAGCGTCTCTCCCGAAAGGCTGGAGACACTGATGGCGATGTCTTGAGAAGAGTAGCTCTTAAGTATCGGACACATTTTTCATCTCCATACAAATTTCCCTTTCACATCGCGCCAAGTGATTTTATTTACATTATAGCCGATGTTAAACAGTCACCAAGTGATTCTAGAAGCTTAATATCAACTACTTAGGACTTGTGCACAAAAAGCGACGCATTGGAGACTTGGTAACCTTCTGGACTGCGAGGTGGCATCACTTCAATGGCGCACAAATGCCTCTTAAGGAGGCCGTAATTTATCTCGAGAGCGAATTCTCAAAACAAAATGGATTTATTACGCAGCGATTTATGTACTTCATGTACAACATGAGTGAAGTAGTGCTTAAGGGTATAAACAGGAGTCGATGAATTGTATGGCATCGTCGAGATGCGGTGCTCCTTTGCCCACTTGTCGTAAAGAAATGAAATGTCTCTCAACAGTAATCACATATATAGGCATAATAAATTCACAGCAATACTTTTGTTATAACTCAAAATATGTTGGGCCTTTCTTCCACGGAGCGCAATTAAATATCTAAACAGTTTTAATATGTTCACTGTTTATGTGATAATTACGAAAACATTAATTGAATTATATTGAGTAAACAATCCCAAAGAAACACGACAACCACCGACTGTCTCGAGAACCAAAATGTTTATTTACATTTGAAGAAATAGGAAAAGAAGTCTTTCAGTGAGAAATAAGGGTGACTTTTCACCAAAATGCACTGAGAGGTTACTCAAATTCCTCGTAATTTGTCTCAAGAGTTTATTAAAATGTGCACAGAATGCATATCAACAAAAGTATTGGGTTTCAACCCAGTTTTAGAGTCTCCTTTCGAAATCCGATGACACCAATCTGGCCAAGCCATAAACCCTTTCTTCGTCTCCACCTTGTGTGCCATGCATAATATGCTCTGCCAGCGGAAAGTCAGGATGGAAAAGTGAAAATATGCCCGGAACAATTCAAAGAGGTGAGTTAAGCATACGTCAGAAAATTGGAGTATTGTTCTCTCATTGTGGCAGCATTGTGTCGACAGAACCCCTCATTCAGACACCAATAGCCTCAGTGGAAGGCCTTCGAGGGCTTCCGCAGAGGGTGAGATTGCGTCAAGTTGAATAGCAATTGAACATATTCGGGAAATCTTCAGGAAAGTTAATCAAGTGGAACAACTTGAATCCTTAAGCTTTCCAAGGATTGGCAAGATTTCTTGAATATTTTCATTCTTAAACTTTAACTTCATCAACAAGGGGGAAAATCACTTAACGATTTTTGAAGAATCTCAATGGATTTAATCAAATTCAAGGGGTTGATTGTATTTGAATTATTGTAATTTAATGACAAAATTTTTGTGCACTATTTTGAAATGCTGGAAGACGAACTTCTGAGCTGGGAAGCTTGAAAACATCGCAATGAATAGAAAACATTGCTTAAATACTTAATCTTCAATCGGATATTTACGGTTTTACACAGGGTTTTACGATAAAAACATTTATGACACTTGAAAAATTTCCTAATTTTTGCAAAAACGAAAAATTGCTCAAAAGCTAAAACCGTAAAGTATCCTTTAATCGTTCAGTATTAATAAGTTCTTTGTTAAAGTTTACCACAATTTCTCATTTTACACCCACAAAATACGTTTTTTTTTTTTACAAAATCTTCTTCTATTTATTGTATTTAACACGGATTTAGATTTTTGTTTTTAAGTATTCGTCCTTTAGTCGCTCAGAATGTATTTTCTTTGCAAAATTCTTATTCACATTCAAATGATGTCTAAAAATGTTCTCCAAACTGATCTAAAATATTCTTTTAATTTTTTTTTATCTTATAAATTGATTTAATAAAAACAATTTTTTTCTCCCTTTCTCTAATTCCGAACAGAGTTCTCGGGTTCATTATAAAATAAAAAAAAAGATTATTTTCCAAGTAAAATTACAAAATAAACAGAAAATCAATTATTTTCGGCAAATTATTTAAATAAATCAAATTGCAATTTAATTATATTCTGAATATTTATAATAAAAATTTAAATATACTCAAATATTCCATTATTTTCTTCGCACATATCGCCGTCAGAGGGCAGCAAAGTTGGTTTGAGGGACGCTAGTTAATTTAAATCACATCTTTTGCATGATTTTTTTTTTGAAAAATCATGGTTTTTTCTCAGCTGATCAAGGTTGAAAGACACGTAGAAGTTCCGATTGTATTGAAAATGATTGGGATAATCACAAAATTAATAGTCTGAAGTCGCGCTGATTTTCCCCCTTGTTTCCTGTTTCGAAAAATTTCCGCCGAATCCGCGTGTTATTAAGTAAGGAGAATAAAATAAAAGATGACGAAATGCGTGAGTTTCCTTCTTGGAAAGACAATTTGTTCTCCCGCCCACAGCAATTCGTGGTGAGTAGATTGTGAAACTTATCTCTCTACATCACTTCGATTTCATGTTAGTCGAAGAGATCAGAAATTCACTTAAACTCTAGCACAGTTAATATCCGTTAAATTGTTATCACACATGGCTTTTCTAAGAATAACATTTTGGTTTTTGGTCGCCATTAAAACAATGAAGTCTTCGGAAGGAGTTTGCCAGTGTTTGGCAACCTTTCTAATCATCCCACAACAGCTCTTTTATTAGATGCTCAAATTCATTTCCACCCATTTCTCTCTCTCTCTCTCTTTCCCTCCCATCAAAATGTGAAGCGCCTCTGGAAAACTTTTGTTATTGTGGCGGAAAAGACATCCAACACTCGGATTTAAACACTGTGGCACAAATGATGTGTTGGGATTTTGAGAGACGAGAGGAACTTAGCTTGAAAGCCTTCAACTCACTCAACATGTGCTCAACAGACTTTTCCACCTCTACTCGGTACAATTACAAAAATATTCTAGAGTCTTTTAAACAAATGATGAGCCATTTAAGAGTTTATTCTCACTCTTTTTGGCGCGCGCGATGATCATCTTACCCGAACTATTATGTCTCTAATTTGGGGGCCAAATATGCTTGAATTGCTCGGCAAGTCAAATTCCTCCAACAAGAGCAGTTCAGTTGACAATTCACCTGTCTTCCCGGCGACTCACCTGACACCAAAAGTCGCGCCTGATCGACAGCCGCGAAGAGAAGTTCACACATTAATGTAAGGAGAGACAATATAAACATGAAATCTGTGAAGCGGTGCAATAAATCTAGACTAGAAGATTTGTTTAAACAGTTTTACGAAACAGCGATAATGATTTTCTTGTTTTCCCGTATTAAATGGTTGGAATTGTTTTGCTTAAGCCATAGCATAAAAATGTCGTAATTCATCTGATCTTTTTCGTATTGTATATAATCCATTTGTTTGGATGATTTGAGGTTTTAATTACTCAAGAGCCATCTGTGTTGAACTGTCTACTCACTGAATTTTCTTCCCTTGTCCATCCAATTAGACATTTTCCGCAATCACACCAGACAAGGATGACGAGGAGTGGGTGGAGAATTGCATTTTACAGCAACTCAGAAGAAAAAAGTGTTGTTAACTCGAAGGATTTCGCCTGTGAGACGCAAAAGCGATATCGGAAGTGTACTATAAATCAATTGAGAATGGGAGTCATTACATAACTTACAGGCCTCTTGAGTTTCTCTGCCTCTCAAAGTGGCTCTAACACACTCCAAAGTGATTTAACTATTAGTCGAATTTGGCACAAGAATCATTATTTCTCTGCCAAATTCTTAAGAATCATCCAAAACTCTTATGCACGATTATTAGTGTTATGATTATTCATTCACTTTATGGATGATGAATATAATTGAGATGAATTTCGCAAGAGAGAAATTCAGGCCGATTGAGATGCTCATCAAAGACGCATTTCTCAACCATCACATTCGGAAAATCGGGAAAATCAACTGCGATCTTTGTGACGTCAATTTTATTAGCAGCACACTCTAAAACAATGAATTCTTGAGGACTCGCCTAGTCAATCTCCACGTTCTCACACTCCTCCGGAGCCTCCGTGGCCTCACTGGCTTTCGTCTTGTCAGCCTCAACGTCCATCTCTTCGATGTTCGACGTCTTCCGAGGCTGTTTGTCACTCCGCTGGCCAGATTCCTGCTCCTGCGGCAGCGTCGCCGACCCGGATTGGCGCCCGTCGTCGCGCTTTGAGTAATTCAAAATGTGTTCGTGATGCTTGTCAAAGAGCCTCATTGATAACTTGTGCTGCTCAAGAGCCGCTCCTGATGCGCTCAATTTCGATGGATAGAAGTAGGGAAATGGAACTGGAGGAATTGGCATTCCGTACGCCATCTGAATCTGCAAAAAAACCAAAATTTTCTATTAAAACAAATCGATAATCTCAGATGAATTTAAAATAGAAAAAATATTATCCGCAAATTATTGGTTTCGTTGAAAAAAATATGCCCAAAATGACAAAGTCGAGAATTCTGTGTGGGATTTAGAGAAAAAGAGTGGAAAATGAAAGAGAAAAATATATTTTAGGTGTAAAATTGTCTTGTCGGGAGAAGTTTTAGGTTTGAAAATAGATTTTAGAGAGTTGAATGAATTATTTCAACCAGTTCGGAAATCATTTATAAATTCTATTTGAGTACGGAGACTTGAAAAAGGAATTATATTCTGTGAAAACGTTAAGAAAAACATATAAATCTGTGTTGAAATGGGTTGAAAAGGGAATTTCAAATTAAGTTTAAGAAGAATTTGGAACGATTAAAGGACATTTTACGGTGTTTTCTCTACTTTCAACTACAGAATTTCGTCAGCATTATTAAAGATTCTTTTATGTGCAAAAATCAGGAGGTTTTTCCCAGTTTCACACTTGCTTTCATTGTAAAACCTTGCGTAAAACCGTAAATATCCGATTAAAGATCAAATGTTGTCTTGTTTGCAAGCTTTTCAGGTGAGAAATACGCTTTTTACTCTTTCAAAATTGTGCACAATTAGTTAATAAATAAATTTGGAAGTGTAAAATAAAGAAAGAAAGGATTTTTGGAATCTGAATTTGCATTTTGAGCCAAAAATGACACTTAATCCCCAATATTAGCAACTCCTTGTAAATAATCTGTTAAAATCCTAATTGAAAACGTGAATTTCTCTTTCATTTCATGAACTCTTCTTAAGATTATCAACACTGTTCTAAAGGAATTATCGAAACTTGTCGATACAAATTGCCTGAAATTTCCCTTTTTCATTACGATTTTAGGAGGAAAATAGTACAGATACGGACTAATTAGTCCTAAGTATTCTAAGTTAACCATTTACCTGATGTCTGTACATATTGACGAGAGCCGGATCGAGTCCGCCAGCAAAGTGAGGCTGAGTTCCCGTCAATTGGCCGTTCCCGACGAGCATGTGTCCGTAGGATCCGTCCTCGCGCACGAGAACCTGCACAGGAACTCTCTTGGTGGCATTGAGCACGGCCGCCTCGTGTTGCTGAATCTGTTTCCGCTTGGTCTTGTACCGTCGGTTCTGGAACCAGATCTTCACCTGCGTCTCCGTGAGTCGCAGGTTCTTGGCCAGCTCGGATCGCTCGGGGCCGGACAAGTAGCGCTGCTGGGCGAATCTCCTCTCCAGCTCAAACACCTGGGCGTGACTGAAGGCCGCCCGAGACCTCTTCTTGCGACTCGTGGTGAGATTGTCCTCCAGATGCAGGCCCATGTTGAACTGAGGCGGTGGCGAGTCTCCATCTGTGGATGTCGACATGCCAGACAACCCTTCAAACTAATTACACTAATTGGCATGCTATTAATAATGGGAGTGGCGGAGATTTGGAGAGTCATTTCCGCCAAACAATGGTGCAGAAATCGCTCTTGAAACAAATTTAGTGTCAATTTCCAGCAACACTTTTGTTGCGAAGGTGTTTGTCTTGCTTTTAGCGCTAAAACGATGAGTCGGCAAGTCAATTGGCGCAGCCCCAATGGATCCTTGGTAAATTTGTCTATTAGCTGACGACAAGACGCTAAAAGTTTTCCTTCCCAAAAACCCACCGAGAAAGTCATTTGAGGTCTTTCCATAACCCGCAAAACACTTCTCCCCACGAATGTGAACCGTGAAATTGTACTTTCGAGAGGCCCATGAAAAGCCATTAGCTAATGTATTTTGCGCGTGTGTCGTGATTATCGGGGTTTCGGTGGAAGTTTCTAAGTAAATTGTTGATTCGGTTGTTGTGGCGACTTCGCGCTCACCTGAATCTGTGGCCGGGCAGCGTCTCATATCGAGCGGTGAGTCCATTCTGCCGCCGAAGCGTCCCATCCGGCCGTCCAGGAGTTTCATCTGCGCCCCACTGGCGTAGACCTCCTCGCAATCCCCGTCCGGAGACAGTTGATCCCGCTTCTCGCTCTCCACGAGGAAGCAATCCAGTGATCCCCGCCGGACGACGGGAGCCGGGCAGTTGTTGCTGAAGTAGATGGAATGACTGCCTGGCGGAGTCTGGAAGCCGCCGCGGCTCGTCTTGGACGGCGGGCTCTCCGACTGCCTCCGCATCAGCCCCGTGGCGACCCTGAGCGGCCGGTCACAGGGTGGGAACTTGTAGCACTTCACTGCACCATCACTGGCGATGTCAAAGCTAGGGTCCAGGGGATACTGTGCCGAGGAGTTGCTCCTCGTGAGGATGTCATTGATTGAGAATGGAGTGGTAGCCATTGACTTGGTGGCCACTGATTGAAAACTCATATTCGCCCTCCACACGGAAACACGCGCACAAACTCTCCTTCAAGACAACACACAAGCACGTCCGATCAGCACGGCTGTTGGCAGCACTTTGAGCCCCGAACTAGAGAGTCCCAACAACCACCCGCACTTTACATGCACTCACTCAACCGAATCCGATCCCTGACACCCGCGCGAGAGCCGTGGGAGTTCTCTGTGGCAAAACAAGCCAGAGCGGAGGAGAGACGCGCGTGAGTTTCTCACAAGGCGAAGAGCCGCAGAAGTGCGGATTCCGTCTTTCTTACTCACCCAAGACTGAGTCGCGAGCCTTTTGGGATTGGCTAAGAGCTTCCCGCCGTACTCACGCCGATTGGACGCCTTTTGCTCATTCAATTCCGCTTAAGTATCGCCACTCGTTGGCGTGTGAGGATTTCCCGACGGCTGTGCCGCAGACAATGCCATGGGCGGGAAAGTGGCAATCTTACACAATGGAAAATAAATTATCCCACCATCTTCCTCCCCTCTGACGCCTCTCTCAGCCTCCGGCTAATCTCTCGCCTTCGCAATCAACCCTCCGGCGGCGTGGAGGGCGAAGAAGGAGGTCCGGAAGAATATCTCTCCTGCAATTATTCCATACAGTTTTCCAACTCACTGGCCCACTAAAAACCGTCAATTGGCACTTATTAATGTGCTAATAAGTGCCAATTGTGGTTTTCCCCTCCACCAGAGTGCGGAAAGTGCAGGGAAATGTTGGTCAATGTAATGAACGCTTTGTCTTGTTGATTCACGGTTCGATTGAAATGGATAAATCGCCATAATATTTACCTTTGTCAATGTTGATCCATTAAGGACTCTTTGATATCTATTAATGCTTCCACTTGCGTATTGGATTTCATGCGAGGACGCATCAAAACATGATGGATCATCTTTTATCCTGTAAATTGATTATTGCGCTATTTATAGAGCTATGTTGGCAATCATGTTGGGAGAATGTCGAGGGAAGATTGTGATTTCACCTCATTTCTTATCATTGCTTCACCGCATTTCTCTTATCACATGCTTTTATGTGTACAATATTTGAATTCATAATTGACTTTTTACTCTCCAGGATTTTCTATGTTTCAACACTCTAACGGCGGATAGCAAAAGTGAGAGAAACATGAAACATTGTACATATTTTTGGTTCTGTTTTACCATCGCAATTTGTATATTTATCATATGTATAGTTTTAAACAAGGGGCAAATCACAAGGCGAAACTTAATCGTCTCAAGCAAATATATCAATATTAAATATTAGTTTGTATGGAAAAAATCTATAAAATATTCATAAAATGATTATTTTTCAAGTAAAATTGCAAAATATTCAAATTTTGAATGAAATAATCTAAATTTGAATAAAAATCACGAAATAATCAAGAAATGATTGAATAATCACAAAATTAATGGTCTCAAATCGCGAGTGACTTTTCCCTTGGTTTTAGAAATATAGAGAAAAGTGATTTATGTACAGAAAAATGAAATTATTTTCTCAAATTTAAAGTATTTAAAGACTTTATTCTTTGCATAATTCAATTTGTGAAAATTCACAATAATCATTAAATAATCATTTAATCAAATTTCGCTTTATTTATACTTTCAATCAATTCCCAGAGCAATTAAGCGTTGTTTAAACACTCATTTAATCGACAAGTGAATATTTACTGAAGGAAAATCGCTGAGAAACTCGGCAGGGTGGAGAGATTGGTGAAAATTGAAGCTAAGGGTATCATATCTAAAACAGGCAGCCATTTAATGGCTTTATAAAATATTTTGGGTTATCAAAATGCTGTCTTGGCCGATGAAAACCAGATGCCCTTTCGTAAGTTATATAAATGCTGCACATAGAAGAAATTCTTATGATTTTCTCCTCCATTTCCACACGCTGTGGCAAGACGTTGAACAAAAAGGCGCCCAGTGATTGATTGGAAGTCAGATCGGAATTCTTCTCATGAGATTGGCGAGGAAAAATGCGTTCTACACATGATTGAGCTCTTTAATTATCCTCATTGTCCGTCACATTCTCTAGTGTATTCAAAGCGGGGCGCCTGGCGAAGGAGCGTTCAGTTCCAGTAGTGGTGCTTCTGGTCGAAGGCAGGGCCAGAGTAGGAGTGCGAGTGGCTCATGGGGCTGAACTGGTGGTCGAAGTGGTTGAAAGTGTAGGCCGGATACGGCGGCGGCGGGAGGTTGTTGGCGTAGCTGGAGGAGGTCTTGGGCAGCATGCTCAGCTCCTTGCTCAGCGCCTGGCCGCAGTGGATGGTCTTCGAGGCGGTGGATTCGCCTTTCTCAGCGCCATCGCCCTTCGATTCGCTCTTCACCACCGTGAGCGACGCCCCACCTTCAATGGTGAGTCTCTTGCACTTGTACCGCCTGTTCTGGAACCATATCTTCACCTGAGTCGGCGTGAGACTCAGCGACTGCGCCAGCACCTCCCTCTCTGGCGCCGAAAGGTACCTCTGCAGCCGGAAGCGCCGCTCCAACTCCAACACTTGCGACTGCGAGAAGAGAACCCGCGGCTTCCGCTTGGCGCGCACCTTCCCATTCTTCCGCAGCTCGCATCGCGACGATGTCACCAGACTGGTGCAATCCTCTGCTCGGGAGAGAACGGAGAGGACTCTTGAGTGTGTCTGCCAATGTTGATTTTGTCGGGGAAAGGAGTGAAAGCGATACTCACTCGATTGAACAACGTCCTCTTTGTTCTCACTGAGATGGCACATGCTGTCCAACTCCTGCACATGTTCGGACGTCACCACGGATTGCTGTGAAGACGCTGAAAAAGATTGGAGCTCGTATTCATCCAGGGCCTTCAGGGATCTGCTCTCGGGCTCGCTGCCGAACGGAGTGTCGGAGGCGGTGGAGTTGCTGCGAAATTGCGCGGAATTCTTCACGGATTCCATGCTCTGGAGCACAGGCGGCGTGCCCGAGAGGGAATTGCTGCACATGAGGCTGTTGGAGGTCGGCGGGTAGCTGGGATATATGTTCTGATGAGGCGCATAATCGTAGAAATTGGCGGAATATGCTGGTGGATGATAAGTCTGATGGGGCAGGAAACCGTGAGGAATCGCTGGAGGGAAACTGTCGATGTACGCAACGGAATCGCAATCCATGAAGTTCTGGTGAGAAACACTGCGAGAAAGAACACAAAATTCCAAACTTCGTCAAGTATTTCAATGCAAAATTCACAGAAAGTCCTTCTGATTCACGCACTGGAAACTATAAGTAACTCAAAAATATTCGCACCTTTCTATGTGACACCCTAAATAGTGATCATCGTTTTGGTCAACGAGATTCAAGATATCCTTGACGGAAAAAGGGGTAGAATTGCAACACTCTCGCCCTAACACAGAAGCACTAGGATTGTCAATCTCAAAGTATCCTTGTTGCATTTCTCAGCAAACTGTTGAATATACTTCAGTCGAAACACTTCCTTTTTGCACTGAAAATCGCACAAATGCTCGAAGGAACGCTCGTGAGGCATCCGAATCGTAACTTTACAAATTGGTGACTGATTGAAAATTTCAATTTTCATGCTCAATTAGCCTCCGAAGCGGCGCCATCGTTCGTCCTGCACTGTTTTTCCCACTCTAGCGAACTGTTCATCTCACTTTACTCGCCTTGTAATCTCTCGGCTGTGACGTAAGTTCTCTGGATGTCTGCAAATCCATGACAACAGTGGCTTGGCAATTGATTTGAAGACTTTGAGGATGAGTAATTCGCCCAATTTACATTATTCACACTCGGAGTGTTGAGGAAAAAAAGGCCCCTTTTCCTGGAAAAATTATGGAAAATTCAAGTGAAAACCACCATTGAAGCCGATGTTTTCCTCTTTGCTATATGCTTTTCATGTGCCATCGAAACTCCGCCCCAATATCAAAAGCCACAAAGCCAATGGTTGTTCCCAAACGGACGGGAGGAAATGGAACAGAGCAGAGCCAGATTCTCATGATTCTTCGCGCGCTGGCTTCTGGCGGGATTTTTTCCGACGTATTAATCACTTTTTATATTGAGAAAGGCAATAAAATGGAACTAATTGGTTGAATAATTGAAACCATTTAGATATCCCCAACAGTTACTAATTGTTGCTTCTCTGGCCCATTTTCCACTGAATTCCAACATATTGCAGCGATATTGTTATTTTCCTCTACATTTTCTTACTCAATTGCGACGAACAGAACGCCTTGGGATGAAATTGTGATCAACAATATTTTTTCTTTACAGATTTCTTCTCACGACTTAAGTGGCGCCTGATGCATTTCGCCAAACATTTTCCGCACAACACAGAAATACACTTTTTCTCCTGTCTTCCCTCAAAACATGTGCCTGGCTTTCTAAGTCCTTTTATATATGTTTTCCTCTCACGGACATATGTTTACTTCGAAATGCAGAGTAAAGTGCACTTTCACAGTGCCAGCAAAAGATGTGCGCGCAGTTTTCTCTAGTGAAAAGAAATTAATAATTAATTCAAGGGGTCGAAAGTTGCAAATGAAAGAAATTATTGCAATACTTGGAGATTTTTTTACAATGTTTTGTTCAATAAAAATCCCACTGGATGTTTAGGTTATGTAACTAAATTTATCTGTAATTAATTGATTAAATAACAACGGAAAACACTAATTTATGTACTCTAATAGTGAAATATTATGAGGATCACAAGCTTTCATTGTTAAAATATGTTAATTATATGCTAAGGATGATTATAACCTCTAAAATCATAAAATGATACTCTAACATAACCTCAAAAGGATACAAAATTGTCAGTTTTAAGAGCTGTTTGATTGGTTTTCTACACTAAAATAGCAAATTTCAGCTCATTTTCGATTTATTTCTCAATAAAAGATTTCGAATAAGTTTCTTTCTACGTAATTTTTAGGTTATATTTCAAAATTAATCCAAAAGAGCGATTGAAAATCGAATCATATCAAAATATCCACGGGAAATTTTAAATTTTCAGCTCTAACAGATTGAATTTCTGAGAGAATTTCTACTCTAAAATAACAAATTTCAGCTTAATTCCCCAAACTTTCTTATAAAACACTTTGAATAAACTTTTTTTTTAATGCTTCTTTAAGATATTTCAATGTAATTTTTAGGTTATGATCCAAAGTGAATCAAAAATAATGTTTTAAAATTGAATCACATTAAAAATATTCAATGGAAACTTCGAATATTTCTCAAATACTGTTTCTCTGTAAGTTTTAAGGATCATTCAAGTGAAAATGGCGGCAAAGACTCCCTAAATTTGAGGTTATTATACTTTAGAAGGTTAAAAAGATCTATAAAGTTCAGAAAGAGGAGGAGAAAATGGGGAAAAAGCATGTTTTATACACTCAATTCAAGTCGATTCAAGTTCACTCAAGACTTTTGCGTATTGTGATGGATGAATGGTCGCAATAGCGCGGGAATGTACTGTACATATTTCGGATGCTGAAGATGTTATGCAATTTCGGGTCTTCGCTGTGCGGAGCAGAATTGAGACATGAGGCTGCCGGTTTTCCTCTTCGTTTGATTTGTGCGACAAATAAAAGGAAAGCAACGGAGAGTGAATTTATTGTGTTATCCCGTCTCGTGGGCGAGGAATTTGTCTCTCCCGCAACATCTGAGAAAAAAATGTTTTAAGAAGTGTTATCTAACCGAAAGCAACTTCCATGCTTACTTTCATTGCGGCATTTCTTTATACCTCCGAGGCTTTTAATCCTCCAACTCTTTTCCCGATGAAAAATCTTGTCATAAAGTCCCTGAAAAGAGCCTTTTTGTGGCGACTGCGGACCGTGGTTTTAATGCAAAGGAGACATTTACTCAAATTGTCACATCTGGAAAACATAGACGTCTCCATAAATTCATACAGCAGGACCCACAAGGCCGAGGAAGATGGACATTAGGCAGATTTTTTGCCGCCATTCCGGTCGACCTCTGGGGTCATGTCACGATGGTTGTCCTGCGGAGTCCCGACGTCTAGACGCTGTGCAACATGTAAGATCAAATATCAAACATGCTCAAAATACTTCAGCAATCTTCTTTTTTTCACCACCAATGCAGGGCGTTTTGTTTACAAATTGCTCTATAATTTTTGAGTACATGAAAATTTCACTCTGGGCTCTGAAAATATGCATGTTAAAAAATTTTTACTACTTTCCCCATCTATTCAAGGAGTAAAATCTGTCAGCCAATCAATAAAATAGGTGAATTACGACCACGAGACGGTCCTCGAGAGAGAAAAGCCCCTTGTAAGCATTCCTCATCGTGAGTGACTTTCTTCTTCCCGAGTTACCCTCGGTTGAACTGCAATTAAAAAACCACTTGACCTAATCCACATTAGAAACCCATCTCTGGAGGCGTTTCGTATTTCATTCCGAGCCACGGAGAGTAAAAATAATTTCACAACTCAATGCTGCAATAATACATATTTCCACATCAAAAGGAAAGGGTTTTCTCAGGTTCATAGGGCAATTGAGGATTTATACTGTCTGATTAACTACTCGCCAATTACACTACGAAAGAAAAATTACACTTTTCTTTGCCCTTTTCCCATAATAATCATTTTAAGATTCCTTGGGTCACGAGCTTTTTAGCCACATTTTATTAAATATCTCCGAGAGGCAAAAACTTTTATGTGCGATTGTTTTTCCTATGTGTAGAGCACTTCAGGGGCTCCATTCCTCCCATACATATCAAAGTGATATTTCTTCTATATCTGTCTAAGAAACAGGGTTTTTCTCAACAAGTTTCGCTTTCTCATGCTGAGAGTGATGCAGTGAGTGGCACACAAAACACCGTTTTTGACCAACAAGGAGTGATTAAAAATCGTTATAATGTTTTACAAAGTAGTAGATAATTTCAATATCTATCATTTGAGCCCAATTTGGGGAAAATCCGTGGAAAATTGGGCGAGATATGAGCACTTATGTGCGACGAAGTGAGGGAAAATAGGCTCCAGGAGGAAAATCTGCGGGTCTAGGGGGCCAAATGAGTCATCTTTGAAGAGCTGCTGGCGCAAGGAATCTTATAACTTGTATTACGGGAAAAGGGCAGAAGTTTGTTTCCTTCTATTAGCACACAATTCATCAGAATAAACCATTTGTAAGACAAAAATTTCATTGTATTAAAAGAAAAAACAAGGAAGAGAAACATGCATATCATTCATGAAACACAGTTGAAATTCGAAACATTGAAGATGCAACGTTTGTCGGAGTGTGTATTCGATGAGAGATTCTATGTTTGAATGTGTCTCGGCTGAAAGCGAAATTCTGAAGCTCTCAATAAAAATGTTGCTCGTCTGTTATAAATGTGGCATAATTCTCTATTTTTCCACTATTTCAACATTGTTTTCACTTGTATTTCTTTCCCCAATAAAACCAATGCAAAAATGTATATTTTTCATGTATTTTTGCTGTGTCAAAATATTCCTGATATTTTTCTGTCGCTTCGTACAATCAAAATGTCACTCTTTGTTGAGCTGAAGACCACCAGATTAATGGCAATTACAGAAATGCTCAATAACTTTATTATTCGTCAATCTGAATACCAAGTGAGGGACTTTCATAAATCTTCGCCAAAACCACACCGAAGCGAATGGGAGTGGGGGCACGAGAGCGATTGATTTATCCGAAAACATGCAGCGATAAGATCTCCGAAGTGGGTAAATCAAAAAAATGGATGACATGCAAAAGCACACCACAGATTGGCACTTTCCACTCAGTCTGTGGGATTCTAGATTCAAACGCGGATTTCACTTGGCATTTTTTGCACAGAAACTCTTCTGTTAAGAGTTTCGCCTCGGATTCTAATAGAATTGTAATTTTTGCATTTAAGAAAATAATTCGCGTGTGAATTTTATCGAATAATTGTCACTTGTTATCGTAAAACGCCGACTATTCATTAAAATGAGTTTCTTACAGATTTTTAGACAAAAAATGAGGGAAAACAGTTTGAAATTTAGCTGAATTTATCTCCCTTTTGCTGGTAATTTAGTTTCAATCTAAAGGAGGAATCTTAATGGTCTGAAACAAATATTTAAATACTGATTCTTCCTTAAGAATATTGATTATTTTCGGCAAAATATTGAAATAAATCAAATTACAATTTAAATATTGAAATATTTTCTCCACATTTGGTCACCAGAGGGCAGTAGATGCTACTCATATTGTATTTTTCACTTAATTTTTCCTCTCTTCTCATGAATTTTCTTCACACTTTTTGAATTCCTGGCAAGATCCTGGCCAGGAAAGAACTTTGAGCGCGAAAATGAAGCTTTTCGCATAGAAAAAGCTCGGATTCATAATCAGCTGATCAAAAATGACATTTTTGAGAAGTTTTAGTGGTTAAAATATTATTTGGAGGCGTTTAAACACTTCATATGAGTTAATTGTTAAAATTGTATTATGAAAAA